CAGAGCAAGCCTGTTCTTGATAAATCTGCTGTGAAAACGTGGGAAAAGCCGACGAGGAAGAAGTTGGAGTGAAGAGATCTTTATATAGGCGGAGCAAAATACTTCATCGCTCTGTCTATAGCGCATTGTGATTGGATGGTTTACGCTGTCTATACAGGAGACAATCCAATGGGCCACTGGCTGCTCGCTGTCCCTGCGTGATGGTCAAAAAAAAATAAATTTTTAAATTTGGTCGGCCCCTTAGGTGCATCGGCCCACCGGGAAAATGCCCAGTATGCCCGATTACCAATCCAGCCCTCGTGGTGATGCAACAAGGATGTAAAAAGCAGAATAAAATGATCATTAAAGTAAACCAGAGTTTCTGCAGGATTTTTAAGCTCAAATTTGAGACCTTCTTTAAGACATGCACAAATAAAATGAATACCATATGATATGAGCGGGGTAGGGCAATGTCACATATTAAACTGTAAAAAGCATGATTTAGAGTTCAGGTAAACAGCATATCTGATAACCCTCCCCTCTCAGTTAATTAAGGGTCAAGGGAATTAGATTAGTGTAAAGTATGTTAAATTACTCATGTTTGTCAGTTAAGGGTTATATCTCCAGGGTGAGAGCAATTACATGTTTATGATGACTGAATTTGTATGATAACATGAGCGTTTGTTTGGAAGTGGAAGTCAGGAAATGTCATCTTAAAAGGATAGTAAAACTTTTGATTTGTGGGGAACAGTTATCTGCTAATTGCCATAAAGAACGTTTTATTAAACTTGTGGTTCGTGGTTAGGCACAGAAAACATCATTAGCAGAGCATAATAAACAATACAAGTCAAGAGGAAGTCCTTATCGTCATACAAACGTGTGTGTTCTTGTGCACTGATCAAAAGTTTCAACTGACGTACCTTTCAGCACAGTTGTCCTGGCAACGGAAGACAGTCATTTTTTTGTAGTCCAAAAAGGAAACCCCTCTAAGAGCCCGTTTCTGTGTGTCATCAATATAACAGCCGATGTGCTTTGCTAAAAAGAGAAAGATGTTAAAAACATCACTGCTAATTCCAGTGATATAATAAATATAATACAAATATAATAAATACAAATTTTATTTAATAAATTAACTATAATTTGTGTTTATTTTAATATTTATTCAGGTGCAATGCTTTTTCCCCATCGATTTCCATTGTAACTGCATTATGCAAACAATATGTTGCTTGGTTTAAAAAACTGAGGCAATAAAATGTGATAATCAACATTCTTTTGTAAAGAGCTTAATTTGTATAGAACCCGGAATATTCCGTTGAATTATAACAAGTGCTAACAGTCTGGCAACACATATTGTGATTGGTAGCTACCATACAGAGAACGCCATTTCATATGTAAACAGCCTGTGACATAATTCATTATAAAACATCTACAGTTTGGATACAGTCACATTGTTCTGGGACAAACATTGACAGTCTGTTGCACCTTTTGCTTCATCAATCTCAACGTTTGTGACATACATACACAAAAATGACCCAAAATGCCGTGTTGCTTGACATCTGTTCTTCCTCTGTAATCTCATCGTACCCCATTAGGATTTCATGTATTTTCTAATAGCTGAGATGGGATGGTTCTGTCACATACACACACTAACCAGTTCAACATTACAGTAATTGCAATTGTCTAAAAATCAGCGAGCAGGATCACGAGCTGCGAGCTAATCGTATTCCAGGCACAGAGGGCAAGCTTGGTAATCTGCTTTATCTACAAGTCAAGCTCTATTCATTCACTCATTCACTCACTGGATTGCCATTCTGTGAAGCAGCTAAGTGCACGGATGAAACTCTCACTAGCAGCACGACTACAGAGATAATGATGCTCCGCTGTACTCACTCTCTGCATGAACCGTTTGTTCTGGACATATGAAATATAATCAAGAGGGGAACAGGGATGAATTATAATAGCTTCACATAACATGTAAATTAATCTCAATATCACAAAATTGCATACAATTATGAAATTAATTTTAAGAAAAAATCATTATAAAATTTGCTTCTATAGCCCTCTTCAGATGGTAATTGTTTCTTGTTCTGGATTTCTGTAAAAATAAAGTTACATGGCACCTCAGTGATAAAACTCATGGATGATTTATTCACAGTGGAGAAACGAATTCTGTGATCCTACATACCGGGAACGCACTGCTTATACGGCCAGTCACATTTTTCTGCTGTAAATGTGATTTCTGATTGTCTGCTGTAAATAAAATGTCACATTCTTGGAATAATAATTAAGAATACATTCATGTTAATAAATAAATTAATGCAACCTCTTATTTAATATAAGGTAAACATAAAGCTGCTTGGTTTATATTTTTATGCATGTAATTATAGGCCTATATGTGACCATGGACCACAAAACCAGACTTAAGAGTCAATTTTTCAAAATTCAGATTTATACATCATCTGACAGCTGAATAAATAAGCTTTCCATTGATGTATGGTTTGTTAGAATAGGACCATATTTGGCCGAGATACACCTATTTGAAAATCTGGAATCTGAGGGTGCAAAAAAATCTAAATATTGAGAAAATCACCTTTAAAGTTGTCCAAATTAAGTTCTTAGCAATGCATATTACTAATCAAAAATTCAGTTTTGATATATTTACGGTAGGAAATTTACTAAATATCTTCATGGAACAT